CTTATTACCCAGGATTTTTTTTGATAAAAGTTAAATTACGTAAGGTTTTTATAAAAGTTAAATTACGTAAGGTATGGTTTTCTTTTCAGAAATGATCAGTTTCAAATACTTTGCTACAGTTTTTGGCAGTGGTACGGGGATCGATCGTTGATTCGTCTGTTTTACTCAGTGCCATGATTAAGTAATGTGATATTGACCGTACATGTGTATGATTTAAATAACACCCGATACTTGAGTTTTAGAAATCATTCAAATCTGTTGATTACTCATACATTATGTAATGCCTGTACATGTATTTCAAACACACCCAATCAGCTATTAATATACAGCTATGTGTAATATATTTCACTCCATTTTAAGGATGATGTACATGTAATTTTAATATAAAGATCTTTTCGTAAATGATTTCTCTTCTATTGAATATCTGTTTGTTTAATTTAATTACCAGTTTAATTGTATCACATAAAAGAAATCTGCTGTGCTGTTTTTTGGCAATTAAAAAGCTGTGACGACAGATGATGATTGTAAACATTCAAGTAAGAAACCTTTGAATTTGAGAAAATGATAACCATTTTTCTAAAGCAAATTTTTGCACTTTTTACGTGCTAATGCTAATGTATTGATCATTTTTTGCTTACATTTTCTATTAAGAATGGTTCAGATATTGGATGTCAGAAGGAAATTAAATGAGTACACTTCTTTGATATAGTGTCAATATGTATTTCTTTAGGCCATTGCATGCCTGATCTACATTATACTGTACATAAATAATTGAGGAGGGCAATCTACTATGTACAGCTAAGTGTAATTAGCTGATGTCAAATCTTTGTTGTTTGGAGAAAAGTGTTTGGACTTCATTATTCAGTTCCATTAATAATATAAAAAGCATTTGATTTAGTGGTAGTATATATCACGTTGTTTGTTTGTCTGTCCATTCAATCATGGGATATGATTCGTTATAGCGTCAGTTTTTGTTAATTAAGGATCCCTGTCCCATTGCACTGTAAATACAGTAGACTCCCTTTAACTTTCGTTTGGATAAAACTGTAGCACAATTAGGCCAGGACACTTCTGTTGACCAGGTAGCTCAATTGGTTAGAGCGATAGTATAACAATCTGAAGTCCAGTGTTCGAATCCCGTCTTAGCCCCGCTGATTTATTTTCACTTAGAACACTTGTTGAAAATTTTTTGTTGATTTCATCATTATTATTTCTCATAAAAGACACTGCAAGGTATGGTGATTTTTTTCAGAAATGATTTACCAAAGATTAAGTCAGTTTCAAAAACTTACAGTTTAACTCATTCACCCCTGAAGACACATTTGAACTCTTTCGATTGAAAGGTTGGAATAGTTCATTATGAAAGTTCAGGGGTGAATGAGTTAATGGCAGTGGTACAGGGGAACACCTTGTCCAGCCCGTACTTCTGATCGCCTCATGATTGTGTAATGAGAGTTCATTGTCATGACTAGAGACTGCATCAAAGATCCTAGCATGGCAAAAGGTCAAAGGCAAAATAATTCTTGTCCAGACTTAATTCTTCTATTCATCCTTAAAGATTTTGTTATTAAAATTGATAGCTGTATACATATCTGCCATTGACTGGATCTTCACCATATGTGTCACACGTAACCTCCCAATGGACTCACCCAGATCAATGCATGGTAGAGTCTACTAAAGTTACATAGGGGTGAAAGGGTTAAGAACAATTTTATTATTACAAATGCCACCAATATGTGATACGTATTTGTTGAAGTCATTTTCATAAGAAATATTTCCTAAAAATCATGTTACCAAGCATTTTGAAAAAAATGTATTTGTTGGAAATTTGACTGTTTGAGGAAAAAAAGAAAAATTGCAATGTTCAACCTCAAGCTCTGTATCTACCCATTGCTGAGCCTTAGCCCAACACTTTATCAATGTTGCCATAGAGGAGGTATTGAAAGTACAGCATCAAAATTAGTGTCCAATTTAGGGCTCACAAATGAAACACTTGACAGGGGAAGTGACTCCTAAACCAGAAAAACTCATTTTGATCACTTCATCTTCTGTATATAGAAGGGAAAATACTTGAGTCAAAAACTCTAGGTGGAACTCTTCTTTGTGATTATAACTGATGCAGTGATGTACCCTTAACTGTAATTTGCATTTTTATATCACCACATGAAATTCATATCTCAAACAGTTGCTTTCAATGGTTGTAATGTTAGCACTGTAAAGGGAGATAATTTAACAAATTATTTATATTTTCATTTTTTTGTGCATGTTTGCATTTCATTTAAATAATTTTCTTCCAACTTCAACACACATATATTTGATTTTTGTTGCTTTTTTGTTTTTGTTTGTTTGATTATTTACATGTTTTTCACAAAATTCTTCGAAAACAATGCAAAATGATCTCCCTTATGAATTGATAAATATCACTAAAGGGACAGAGGTATGTCCATTTCTTATTTATATTTTCATACATATTTTTTTTTCTGTGGATCCCATTGCCAATTTCAAAGATGAATAAAATAGGGTATGAAAATAGACCAAATATTAAGTTGTGTGTAATCAAAAATAATCTTCGTTATCCTGTGCAGGCAGCTGAAGTGAGTGCTGAATTATAACTTGGCTATATTTATGTGACAACCTCTTAATCAATACATGTAATCAATTTTGCATGATTGCTTCACACATGAAACATTATCAGTGTTTCTTTGTCACCAAAACACAACAATCAAATATCTCATTTAATCCGAACTATAACTTAAAAGTTACTATATTACATATATATATTACTCTACACAGTACAATTCAAATATTAACATTTCATCATCTGTGTTAATTTTTTACTTTAACCTAATGTTAATATCTATATATAGTTCTGAAAATAGTCAGTTACAAAAATTCATTGTAATACGGTGATAAAACAAAACAAATTATCAATTAAATAAGGATTCTTCATTCAGAATTGATATCATACATTTGTTGGGTATAGATTTTGATAAAAAATTTATACATTTTTTTATTTCCTAGAAATCTCACCAGGTAAGGAATGGATTAGAGATTATGCATTGCGCTTCCATTGATTTGTTTTGTCACAGCTACAGGGCGCCTGATTTATGATCTTTTCCTTGCTGTAGAGGTCTATTCTGAATCAATATTCCAAACTATTCCCCACATTCCAGGTATTATAAACCCCCTGCAGACATGGTGTGAACAAAATCAATAACACTTACAGATAAACGGGTATAACTGATGACATTACTGCGTTCTGTCTAATGTGTCAAATAACTGAAGGGACAGGATCGGTAATTGTTTTAGTCCTCCGTCACATAATGGAGGGGGCACAATTAGCAAGGGCCTTGATTATTAGGTCAGGCACGGTAGTCTAGTGGTAGGATGTCGGGCTCGTGACCGAAGGGTTGGGGGTTCAAGTCGCGTTACAGCACTGTGTTGTGAGTAGTGGTAGTGAGTAAATTATATATATTGCAATAAGCCTGATATTCAAAGTCATCCACGCAAAACATTTTGCTAACTTTGTGACCATGCACTCATTCCTAATGAACAAATTATTTACATGACTTGTGTGATTTCTAGAATATCAGTCGTAATGGTGAATTTTCTCTGTCCTGTACACATTGATAGAGCAATATATGGTCACAGGGATCCTTCAGGATCATAGAGAGGTCAAGAGGTGTGTAAAAAATCCAAAGGAACCAGGAGACATACCCCCTATAACTGTCATATTTTCCCTAAGCTTGCTTCAGTACAGTGATGGGTTATCTTGTTTGTTCAAATTAATTACCTTGACCTTACCTTCAAGGTCATAGTGGTGAGATGGATTAAAACCCCTGTAAAATATGGCCATGTTTGGTCATGGTTAAAGCAAGGTTACTTTGCCAAACAAAGTTTGACAAAGGTAATTCAATACTGCTAATTGGCTGACAATTGATTTTTTGGAGATATCATTGAAATATTATACAGAATTAATTTCTAGAAAAATACAGGTTAGCAATTAATGTAATTTGACCTCTTGCTGTATATAGCCCCTTTTACATCGATGAACAAATCTCAATAGAAAATCATATCTATAAGTTACTTCAAATTCATAGTTGGGTCTACATAATCCATTCATTATAAACTGCATTGAAGGAAATGGACACACCGCTCTGATTTATATATAGAAAAATTTACTTGGACCTGGAGTACAGAAAAGTTAAAGATATACAGTATAGGTAACTTGTCTGTAAGATAAGGGAATTCTGAAGTGCATGTATACAAATCTGGAGAGAAATGTTGTGTCCCTTTAAACAATTATGATAGGGATTTAACTACAAAATTGGCCTCATAGCAATTTGATAAGACCCTTTGTAATAAAAACATGGCCCACGCAGACAAACGCCCTGATTAAGGGCCATAAATGTTTACTCCGTCTGAGGCACTAAGTGAAAGGACTGATCATAGTTTTATTTCAAAGTGACAAAATATATAGAAGATCCTATGGCAATGCATGACATTCAGTCCTTCACAGTATTATAGAGTAGACTAAACTCTACGAGATTTCACACCTGAGACAAAATGTTAGCTCCGTATGAAATTTATCACAGGGACTTCAGTAAAACCTGCATATAAAGAACAAGTCTTAATACACAGATGGTCTGTATAGATGGGTTGTAGTTTAGGCAGGTTTCACACTATAACTTAAGCTCTGTATATCTGCTGGTTTTTTTTTAATGATGATAACATATACAATAATACTTTTACATGTCCATGTGACGGTAAAAATGTATAAAAAACAACAACACGAAGACTATAGTTTGCTAGCGCTTTCGCCCATCTTGGGGCTCTTCAGGCCTTCAAATCGCCTGAAGAGCCGAAAGCGCTCGCGAATTATAGTCTTTGTGTTTTGTTTTTTATGTAATAATACTTCTATATTTCAAGTCATAATTGTTTTCCAGTGTACATGTATTAATAAAATATCTAATTGTGAAATCATTCTTGTTTTTTGACAGACTTGAAGTCTCTTAGAGGATAACGAGAGTGACAGGCCTGTTGATGTTACCCCGACGACTGATCCTATTTCTGGCTGGGGGGGTTTTGGTTCTACTGAGTTTCACCTCCGTCAGTAAGTATTATACTGCCTGTGTCCAGATAAAGGGAGGGAAAAGCTTGTATATATATAGATACTTTACTAATTAATGGGAACTCATTGTTAAAGCATGGTAGTGTGAAAGTTGCACTCTGAGCTCTGGACATAAAAGCATAAAATGTCAGCTTTACCTGTATTCATACAACATAAACATGAAGTATTCATAAGACTGCTGTGAAGATTCATGTTCCCTACAAATAACAGTCCTGAAACATATGTTAGCTAAACACAACTTTCTAGTCACCTTCACTGATTTATTGCTAGTGATACATTTGTTTATATATAATTAACAATGGTGGTGAAATGTTCAAAACAATTTTGCTTATGAAATATTAAATTGCCTCCTGTCTATAGCTACCATCTCTATACAAACCAACTCTATATAGCTACCACCTGTCTATACCAACACCTGTGTTAGTGTCTATAGATACCACCTGTCTATAGCTACCACCTGTCTATACCAACACCTGTGTTAGTATCTATAGATACCACCTGTCTATACCAACACCTGTGTTAGTGTCTATAGCTACCACCTGTCTATATTAACACCTGTGTTAGTGTCTATAGCTACCACCTGTCTATACCAACACCTGTGTTAGTGTCTATAGATACCACCTGTCTATACATACTATTTGTCTAGCAAATTATATGTGTTTTTTAAGAGCAAAAAAAATATTATGGTTGTGAATAAGCTCAACAAAAAATATTAAATCATCAATATACCACCTATATACAATGTGTATAATACCTGTCTATAGCTTAGATATGTTCATTACAACCTCCCCTATCTGTACATATATTACACTGTACCTGCCTATATCTACTGGGACCACTGTTCTTTTGAGTGGTCTTTATCCACAGGTCCCCATACACCTGCAGTATACAAAGGGGAGATAACTGTGGCTGATGTTTATGATTGTTATTTATAAAAAAGAGGAGATATGTACCGAATAAGCTATAATTATGAGTTAGCAAAAAAATATAAAATTAAATCATCAATCTAATAATTTTGTCATTACCACGGATTCTTGTTTATAAACCATACATATCATGTTTGTACATGCACATTAAAAATTTAAATAATGTTTCATTATCAGTTATCACATCTGAAAGGATATAAAATGGACAGGGAAATTACCATTAGATAATAAAACTGTGCACTTGAAATGGAATAAAACTCAAGTTCTACACAATGACTGAGAAGCAGTATTTGTGCTGGAGTTAAAATCAATATCCTAGGAATCATCAATTACCATGATAATGAGGGTAACAGCCTATATCTGTGGCTATAAAATAATATCGATTGTTTTGTGTGCGACACAATTTACCTGAGTAGGACTAGAAAATCCAATAGAAAATGACTCTGGGCCCTCCGAAATGATGTATACAATATGTTGACCATCTTGCTTGTTATTCTAAAATTAGTCATTACATATACTCTGTATACATGTAAAGATATTACGATTACAACCTACTTTTACCGATAGTTTATCATTAAATTTACATATGGAAAAGGATTTCTGAATTACAAATTAATAAATAGTTTTTTCTTGTATGAAATAAGTTGTTATAAAAATGCTTATATCCTAATAGATCTTATTTAACTTTATATACATTTGTTAAAGATATATATTAATTGTATAGATCTGCTTAAAGTTTATATTTATTTTCTTAAATATAAGGATGTTAATGTTTTAAAGGTGCCCAGACATGTAACCCCACATGTGGTAAAGAAAAATACTGCTTCTCCACCCCAGCAGACACTTCCACTGGTACCCCAGGTATCACTGAATGTCGCGGTAAGTAAATAATTATGGGGTTGACTGCCGAGGAACCGTTATTTCCTAAGATCTTTTGCACTTAAATATATTGAGAAATATCAATAAAGTGTTGTTGTTTTTTATTTAATTAATGTGAAATTACATTCTTTGTCGCCGTCTCAGCCCACAGAGGGAGACAACTCTTGGTCAGACATATATAGTCCTACTTGTATACATGTTGGCATTATTGCCGAGATGTAGACATGCAACTGCATTAATTGTTTGTGTTTTTCTCTCAGTTCTCAAGTTCACAGTTCCTCACTGATCAGCTGACATTGTTGTATTAGGCTAAAAAACAAACGGAAAAAGTGAAGAAATTACATCATTAATCAGATTGCTAACTGATGCAGTGATAATGTTTACCCAAGTTACATCTTGTATATACTTTTTGAAATATCTTGCTTTCGTTTTTGGTTCTACTATGCGGACTTAGAAATACAAAAAAATAGCTACAATTGATAAAGTCAATATATAATGATTCATCAATTTGACACACCTACTCAACACAGTGTGTATACACTCTAGATCTCTAGATCTTTTGATAGGGATCGCGAAATGTCCCAGGTCGAGTGACATATGAAATATACAATTTCGTCAGATAATTTATACAGGTAAACAATACAAAACGCTCACTCAGTCAAAGCTTGACAAAGGGCCCAGTCGGTCTTGAGATATTGTAGTTACTTATAAGTGGACAAACATTGCTGATACAAGTGTTTTATGTCACTGTTTTTTCTGTTGATTTGATGTTGTTTGTTATTGGTTCAGACTGTGACGTTCAGATTTCAAAACTAACACAGGTTTTTTTTAAACTAGTAGATATTGGCTCCAAGGACTTGTGAGTCATTCACCTATAGCCCAATGCAATCTTTTTCAATTAGAAAAAAAATATAAAAACAAAATGTCATTTGATTTATAGATTCTTTAACCTGAAAACGTCTGATTATTCTTTACAAAACCTGCTTAGAATTCAGATGAACTCTGTTCAGATTGTCAGTAATTTTAATATTTCATCATCCTAGAACATTTTGATGTCTGCTTATAAAAAGCTACATTTATAATATATTTCTTCTGCTTCATGAATAGCGCTTTGTTCAGCTTATTCTATAAAGATAGAATCACATCCTATAACAATCGGTCGTTTGTTAAGTCAAAATAAGATATACTTACAGAATTGTAAATACGATAAGTTCTAAACTTTCACCAAACAATCTATTGTACTCAAAATGTCCTTTTGTACCCACAGTTAAAATGGTTAGGTATTTTTTGGGGGGAAAACATCAAAACTGATCATCAGCCATCTTTTGAAAATTATAACTTGACAATTAAAGCAATTTATGAACCGTTAAAGAGCAATAGTTGAAAAATCAAGTTTATTAAAATCTTATATGACTGTAAAGATAAATTTTGTACCGTCAAATATCTTAATGATTTAACATAATCGACAAAAGTTGTTAAAATCATCAAGGATCTTTCCATTGAACCTGACATTAAGCATGTAACAACCAATGTTGAATAGATTTCTGATATCGCTAATACAGCAACTTTCATAGCAAGTTCAGAACCATCAAAGAACTTTATGATGTGGTTGTATTAAGTTAAGAACCACCAAAGAACTTTATGATGTGGGTGTATTAAGTTAAGAACCACCAAAGAACTTTCTGATGTGGGTGTAAGGTAAGAACCACTAAAGAACTTTCTGATGTGGGTATAAGGTAAGAACCACCAAAGAACTTTATGATGTGGGTGTAAGGTAAGAACCACCAGATGTAGAGATTCTCCAATATAGCTGGTAATGTAAGTTAAGACCTATCAATTATATTAGCAAAGGGCAAAGAACAAGGGAACAATTATCAAAGGGTTTCAAACAGAATCTTTCCAAATATCAAAATGTCATTACATGTACTATACCTGTCAGATTGAGATTTCCCATCTCCATCACCAACGGATTGTACAATGCGTTAGCATTGGAGTTGTGATGCAGTTAAATTTGAAATATTTGCTGCATTATAAAAAAAAATTGATAACGTAAATTAAATAATAATGAATATTTACATTCGCTCCCATTGAAGCTGTGTAAACCGTGACTGCGTATAAATAACCATATACGCAGTGAGATTCCTTGGAGACCATTGTTTCCTATTGATGACATAATTTACATTGTGACGTCATAATGGTAACGTTGGAGATCCATCGCTGCTCGCAGGCTGTATGCTGTTCATTTGTTTGGATTTACGCACGTTATGGAGGTTTTGTACCATTATAAAAGCAAATGTATTGGAGTTAGCTTTATTCTGAGTGTACCATCATAGTAGGAAAATATGTAAATATAAGAATTGATCTTTAGTTTGACTGGGTATACGGTAGTGTGAACGCAGTTGGCAACGAACATATATGTTCGTTGCCAAATGCGTTCGTAACTACCGTATACGCAGTCAAAATGAAGGTCAATCCTTAAGTATATACCGCTTTATCATAACCTAGTTGTTAGGTTGTCTCAAAGCAGTTCACAAATTATTATCCATGGTTATAGGGCCTTTGCAACTTGCCAATATCTTTCTCAACTCTCTAGGGAGCGTATATGCCGGTGGTGCCATTTCGGCGCTTACAGCTAGCATTCAACAATTCTAGCACTGCCCAACTACGTACTCTTTTACAGCTGAGTAGACTGGAACAAGCGGAGTAAAGTATCATGCTCAAAGATGCAACATAGTGCCGTGTCGTGACTCGAACCTGCAATCCTTTGGTCATGAGCCCGGCGTCCTGAACCACTAGACTACCGCGTCTCCTATAAAAAAAGTTTCTTAAAAAAAACGGGTACTCCACGTGCACATAATCATAGAATTAATATTTTCACAGGTTGTCATCCAGCATGCACAGATTGTGATGGCCCAGGTATCACCCAGTGTAGTCGCTGTCAGCCAGGATTCTTACTGACTGGAACTGCTTGTCAAGGTAAGGGAGACAATCCTTTTTCAGAAATGTTTGTCAGTGTACTACTTATCATGGCAGTCATTTTGAATCAGAACAGTCTGGTTTCAGGTCAACCAGAGGTCTATCTCACCAATAACCAAAGCTGTAGCCTCAGTCACAAGTAATAAATAAATCATTAATTAGCTAAGAATACATCATTTAATTATTCTTTCCAAATAGCTAGTAGATAAATTACTTTTATAAAAAAAATCCAGAAGTTCTGATTAAATTTGTTGAAAATACTTCTCTCATGAAGATGTACCATATTTGTCTGGTGATAAGTCCAGAGGTGCCTTTATGTTCTTAGAAAAAAGGTAAAGTAGTCCAGAATTTTAACCAATCAGGCCTAGAGATAGGCTAAAGCTCAAATTTGATGTCTCTTGTCAGTAAGATCACAGTTTAGCAAGAGGTTTAACACTAAATATGTTCTTCTCAATGCTAAATGACAGTAATTTTTGGATTCGATTTATACCCTTTTTTTGTTTTTATTTCTGCCATTTGTTTATGTTTGCTACTGCCAGAGTGTCTGGAGGGAAGTTTCGGTGTCAACTGTACCGGAGAATGTCACTGCCTACCTGACACTGGGGGCTGTTCCAATGTAGACGGAGCCTGTAGATTCTTCGAGTGTGAGTGGGGATACAAGGACCCGCCCTTATGTCAAACAGGTCAGTCAGCTCAAAGTTACTTAGGATTCATAGGCAAATCATTGAAAAAAATACTAGAAACCTGAGATTCATTTCATAATGGGCTTTTGTTATAAAAAAAAAAAAAAAGGGAACACCTAAGATTTCAAAAATATGTGTTACAAACCAAACAATATCGAACTGTTTCGCCTACTTGGAATCTGTACAACTTTGGATTAAATTATAGTGCTGACACTCATATTTGCCAACCTTTCAAATTTTTCATTGATTGCATGGAAACTTCATGACTATATGCAAATTCAAAAAGTATAAAAGATATACTTGAGATTCATAAATAATGGTCACATACAAAGTATTTGACAGAATGATAAAATTTGTTAGCTTTACCTTTTATAGACAATGAACTGATTTTGAAAATAATAGAGATGTCTATGGCAATATTCTGTATGTGTCAAAAGTTATATAATGTGGTTGAGAATCTCCCTCAATAGAAAATACAGAAACATAGCAATAATGAAATACAAATGTACTGATATAGCCAGCATTGATGATTTTTCATGACGCCACTTGAGACTAGAAGGTGACAAAAAGAGATTGTGTTACACGCTGTACAGTCTTGATCTGTATTGAATTACAAACATGTTTTTTATCTATCGTAGAATGTGTGAACCAGTACGGGAAAAACTGTAAATTCGACTGCCATTGTCCGGTCAACGACACCTGTAATGTCCAGAATGGTCAATGTGCCAGTGCTCGGTGTGCGGAGGGGTTCGCTGGCCCAGGCTGTCAAGTAGGTCAGTACACGTACCTACATGGAAGCATTCACCGTTCCAATCTATGGGATATACATCTATTACAGAAAACTAGGGTTTTCTTGCAGATGTAATTCACACTATCGCTCAACCTAGCTGAATTGAAAAAAAATCTTTTCTTGTCATTTATTCCGCACCTAAAGAAATTATTCAAAGAATATCAAAACCGGGTCATTACTTAATGGTACTGGAGCAGTCTGTATATATACTAAGAAGAGCTAGATAGATTTTGCTAGAATACCAAATCATAAAGAAATATTGGTTCACTTGTCTAGTATAGACAAAAACTGTATATTTTTGTCTTTTTGAAATTCTCCTGTACATGTAAGGTCACATATTCTCACAAAGAAATTCATTTTTGCACATTTTTTTTTTAATTCCTTTATTTTACAACAATTATGAAAGAACTTGTTTCCAATTCATATTAATAACTCCTGTTGGCCTGTATGTAAGGGTACAGTTGGTTTTAATGTGGGAGGAAATTTGAGTGCCCAAAAAAAAAACCAGTGGTTGGGCAGGTGACCCAAAACCTTTTCATTTTCATGTTTATGTATCATGATAAAAGTGGAGGCTGCTGCAAAATATTGTGGACAAAATCAGCTTTAGACTAAAATGTTGATTTTACAGGCTCTTGGGTAAGTACAACTTCATGTTCTGAGCAGGAGTACTTCAACGAGCTCCAATTTGGCCAAATCAGACCCTAGGAAGCTGAGACCATCATTTTCAATACTGTCTCAGTCTGGCAAAATTGTTGCAAAATATGAAAAAATCGCCGCATAGCCAACCATATAGGAATTTTAGCATTGGAGCAGACCCCACCTTTATTGAAAATTCCATCTTATATGTAATTATTACTTACTACAGTACACCAACTCATACTTCAATCAGTTTTCTCCCCTTGTCATACCCTTAAATATTTTACTTTTATGTTTATTATTATCAGAGTTACCTCGGTTAAGGATACCACCAACCATTACTGGGAACGAATGTGGTAACGTCACCGTCACCTGGCAGGCGTGGGATGAGAGTGTGGACAATGGTCAAGGTCCAATCTACAACTACCAGTGAGTTGGCGTTTCAAATTTTGTTCAGGAAAAATATTCCAAATTACTCCCAAGCTGATATATGTGTTCTACAACTTAATGTTAATTGATTGATTTGAGGTAAAGGACCTCTCAGATTACCTAACACAGGAACTACTCCATCAAGTTAACATAATGGTTAATTTTGGGAATACAACATAATGTATTTGTTTTTGCGATTGTTCTTCAAATCACATATTTGCATGGATTTTCATAATTGATTAAATGAAATCAACTACTAGCTATTTTAAGGCCTTGTGCTTAATTATGTCTCCCCTTCGTATGAAGGGAGACATATTGTATTAGTACTGGTTCTTCTGGTTCTTCTTATATGATCTTGTCCGGGCCGTCACTTTTGAACTGTTCAAGATATTCTTGATGAAACTTGCAGTATACCTGCATCACCCATAGACGATGTGCAGTGCACTGTCATTAGGTCATTGTGACATTGACCCCAAGGTCAAAGGTCAAATATGTGCTAATTTGTTAGGAATATCTTGTCAGAGCTCTAACTTTTTAACTATTAAAGGGGAGACATACATTTTTTTTCACATAAAACAAATCTCTGGTTAAAACCTTGTATTTCTTATGAGAGATTTGCATGTGTGATTGTTTATATTTGATAAATTAACATGAAATGTATTTCTAGTCAAATGATTGTAAAAAACTGTGCCAAACATGTATCATTTATTGAATTTAAAATGTTTAATTTCCAAAGTGGAATAACTGTTTCTGATATTGCTGATATTTTAGCTACCTGGTAAACTTTAAAAAAAAAGGCAAAACACAAAAAAAAAATCCCATTCAAAATTGAAATCAAATACACATCACAAAATAATGACAGTGTGAACAAATTTTCTGTTCTGATGTTGTGAATAAATTCTGCCTTAACAAAGTAAACCAGAATTAACATACAATTTAGTCTAATCTGCCCAAGCGACCATCTGTATTAAACGACCATCTGTTTTATGTGACCACTTTTTATTCCTCCCAACCGTTTTTACTATGTAATTTAACTGTGTTAGCAACCACCCAATACTGACCTTAAAGATTACGATTAACGACCACATTTGATACATTTTAGCGACCAAAATATACCAAACGGTCGTTGAAATAGCTGCTCCAAATTTGCGACCGTCGCCACATTTGACGAAGGGCTACTTAACGATCTTTTCACAAAGTTCTGTGAACAAATTTGATAAAACCAATTTCCAAACTTATAATAAATTCATTGATGTGCAGAAACAAATAAAAAGTCATTTTTCTAACTGCTGAAATCTAGTACTTAGTAACCAAGTATTTGCATGGTTTGAAATATCTCTTCTCATGTTTAATATGATCTAATATGTTTTAGATTATTGTACCGGAGTGATAATGTGTCAGACACTGCGTGGTACAGCCTCCTGAACACACCTAATGGCGACACGACCACTGTCACCTACACTCACAGCTTCACAGGACTTAACCCTGATTCTAAATACAAGTTTCGTGTGGACGTTATCGGGAAAGACGGAACAAAACCCTCTAGCGAAAAAATCGTGGGGTTTGAAACAGATTTCTATACAATGAAATGTATTGGTAAGTCTAGCAAAAGTTTAATCCTTACATTTTAGTCATTTAAATTTAAAATTAAAGGATTTACTCTAAATTCCTTAAGTTACTTTCTGAGTAGGAGTTTCAAATCAATATTTTGACAGGTACATTTGTTCGAAAAACACACATATGGATCTTTTATCACAATTTTTTTCTCTATATGAAATGCATTTAAGTATAAATTAGAAAAAGTCTTTTGATGACTTTTTAAGAAAACTTTATCTAGAATATTTAAAAATTTGTAAATACCTATGATACACTGTTTGTTCAGATAATGTGACATCTGACATCGGTAAGATATGTGAAAATCTATTTATTAAGTAGATATATTTAGAAAAAAAATCATATCTTTTAATTGCTATTAAGGTCTTTCTCATCCTAATCTTAATTAAAGATTATCATATGACCATTTCAGTATCCTACCCTGTATCAACCCGAGAACACCATATACGCCCAAGGGCCAGCTAGAGGCCTGAGGGCAGATTTTAGGGTTGAGGGTTAACACAGGGTGGGATATGGAAATGGTCATATCATAGCCTATTTTATCATATACTACACACTGTAACTGTTTTAAATTGTTGGACCCATTAAAATTATTGGCAAATAACAGAAATCGAGTGTAATTTAGACATGACTTTTCTGAAATGTTTTGAACCAAAAGTATAAAACGGATATGGCACATGCCGGGCAGATATGAGTTGGTCTTGGAATTTATAGCCTGTGCACATGCAGCTAGCAGAATCACACATGCAAACCAACCAATCTCACAGACAAGTATATGATAATTCTTTTTATTGATCTTACTGCGTTTGACTTCTGATCTACTTTACTATATACCTATTACCTTATATGGATTGAAAAACTATCTATTATCTTCTATGGAGTGAAAAACTATATATTACCTTATATGGATTAAAAAAAATAACCAAAATATATAATTTCATACTAAATATTTTGACATTGGTGGCTGGTGTGTTGGTGATGGTGTTAGGTTAGATGGCGATACCACATGTTGTGTTGTTCATGGTGCTACGGTACAAGTGGTGCTTATATATTTATATGTGTGTGTGTGTGTGTGTGGTTTTATAATCAAACATTAATGGTTCCTAATATTTTGAAAGTATCAAATATATCATTTGCAAACGAAATGCTAATAACAAACCATTTCTAACAAATCTGAGATTAAAATGAATGTTGGGTACAATATACCCAGTTGAGTGTTGCGTACAATATACCAAGTTGAGTGTTGAGTACAATATACCAAGTTGAGTGTTGCGTACAATATACCAAGTTGAGTGTTGCGTACAATATACCAAGTTAAGTGTTGAGTACAATATACATGTACCAGGTTGACTGTTGAGTACAATATACCAAGTCAAGTACCAAGTAAAGTACAAGATTTGATAAAAATTAATATTTTTGTAGTCCTATCAACAAAACCCTATTTTCTTTGTATAGTTTTTATCACTCATTTAAGACATACTTCACTGCTAGTTTAGATATAAGTTAAAAGTATATACATATTTATGAATTCTATGAAACTTTCACAATTATACCCTATAACCCTATGATTTGTTGTGACTGCTCGTCGGTGTAAATTGTTGATTGGTATCAATGTCAATTTCATTATGTTTGAATGTAAATTACAACAAACATGTACAGGCCATGATACTGGTAATATAATAATGTGAAGTGTTGGTAAAATCTTCTTTAACATATATATAGGGATTGAATCTGGATTTTTCCAGTATTCATGCAAGTATGAAGGGGGAATAATTTACTTACACACCACATGAGCAGGCGTAGCGAAAATTTTAAAAGTACATGTATGGTCCCTTGGAAAAACAGCCTTTCATTTTGCGTTTTGTTACAGGTTCTGTGATTGGCTCAATATTTAGAAGCACATGTGACCCAAAAAACAGCTGTTTTTTGGGTCACATGTGCTTCTAAATATTGAGCCAATCACAGAACCTGTAACAAAACGCAAAATGAAATTTGGAATTATATAACCATGACCCTTTCTAAATAGTCTCTGAGGGATAATTAAAGATTCTTTTAATGCTCCCTTCATGAGTCTAGTGATTAAGATCCTTAGTGGGTATATTATATATCACAGAGAGGATAGTGATTATCTATAAGGATTTACATCAGAACTTACAGCAGAATTACTTCTATATGTTGTGTATATGTATCAAAAAGCCTGTCTGATTACTTTTTCTCGAGTATATAATAATCCCTATACCGAAGACTGCATACTTGCCAACCCTCCCTATTAAGAATGAAGACTACCAATTTTAAACCCTTAAATTTAGTGTCTTCAACCTGTGAATTTGCTTAACTGTTCCTACATTCTAAGAACTTATGATTTCATTTGAAAGAACAACTCAAAATATGTCATTTTAATGTGTTATGTTGGATATTTGAGTCACTTCTGAGTGTCTTGATAATTGAGTCACTTGTGAGTGTCTTGATAATTGAGTCACTTGTGCGTGTCCTGATATTTGAGTCATTTCTGAGTGTCTTGATAATTGAGTCACTTGTGAGTGTCTTGATAATTGAGTCACTTGTGAGTGTCCTGATATTTGAGTCATTTCTGAGTGTCTTGATAATTGAGTCACTTGTGAGTGTCTTGATAATTGAGTCACTTGTGAGTGTCCTGATATTTGAGTCATTTCTGAGTGTCTTGATAATTGAGTCACTTGTGAGTGTCTTGATAATTGAGTCACTTGTGAGTGTCCTGATATTTGAGTCATTTCTGAGTGTCTTGATAATTGAGTCACTTGTGAGTGTCTTGATAATTGAGTCACTTGTGAGTGTCCTGATATTTGAGTCATTTCTGAGTGTCTTGATAATTGAGTCACTTGTGAGTGTCTTGATAATTGAGTCACTTGTGAGTGTCCTGATATTTGAGTCATTTCTGAGTGTCTTGATAATTGAGTCATTTCTGAGTGTCTTGATAATTGAGTCACTCGTGAGTGTCCTGATTTGAAGTCCTTTAGCTTGTTAACTTGAGGAAATAGTATATTGGACTTCAATTTCAACAAAATGTAATGACAACAGATTGTATAATGTAAAGAGGGTAGGATAGCAATCTTAAAGCATAAGTCCTTCGACGTCTGTTAGACTTAATTGATAATTGTGTCATATTTGTTTGTGTTTAATGACCATTACCTTAGTGCTGGAATTGCTTGGGATTGGCGTAACATTTGTTGAGCTCATAACTGAGTCGTTTGTGATTTTACTCCATTTTTAGGGGAAGCTGTAAAAATTGGCTAATCCACTAATCATAACTGGTGCTTTCATTAATGCTTGTTTTTCTACAGTAATCACAACTACAACAGTTAAACCACTAGTTACTACAATACAACCTCTGCTAGGTGAGTACGATCCCAGATCATCTATTTATATACTGTAAAATCATAAAAAAAACAAATTTCAAAAGATTTTTCATGATATAGATATAAAACAAGTATTTTCATTTTCACACTCTCTTGCACACGTTTTTACAAATTATACACTCATCATTTCCATTATCATCATCATCATCATCATCATCATCATCATCATCATCATCATCATCATCATCATCATCATCATCATCTCATCATCAAAAAACAACAACATAAATTTTAGTGGAATATTAAATTTCGTTTATTTCGTGGATAACAAAAAAACGCAAAATTAAATCCCCACTAGAACATAATTTTGGTATGTAAGTGAACCTATCTATACCTTACATACATACTGTTAGTGGGATCCCCAGTAACCTATACATTACATACATACTGTAAGTGTGATCACCAGAAACCTATACCTTACATACATACTGTTAGTGGGATCACCAGTAACCTATACCTTACATACAGACTGTAAGTGTGATCACCAGTAACCTATACCTTGCATACATACTGTAAGTGTGATCACCAGTAACCCATACCTTACATACATACTGTAAGTGGGATCCCCAGTAACCTATACATTACAAACATACTGTAAGTGTGATCACCAGTAACCCATACCTTACATACATACTGTAAGTGGGATGCCCAGTAACCTATACCTTACATACATACTGTAAGTTGGATCCCCAGGAACCTATACCTTACATACATACTGTAAGTTGGATCCCCAGGAACCTATACCTTACATACATACTGTAAGTGGGATGCCCAGTAACCTATACCTTACATACATACTGTAAGTGTGATCAGCAGTAACCTATACCTTACATATATACTGTAAGTGTGATAACCAGTAACCTATACCTTACATACATACTGTAAGTGGGGTCCCCAGGAACCTATACCTTACATACATACTGTAAGTGTGATCAGCAGTAACCTATACCTTACATATATACTGTAAGTGTGATAACCAGTAACCTATACCTTACATACATACTGTAAGTTGGATCCCCAGGAACCTATACCTTACATACATACTGTAAGTGAGATCACCAGTAACCTATACCTTACATACAGACTGTAAGTGTGATCACCAGTAACCTATACGTTACATACATACTGTAAGTGTGATCACCAGCAACCTATACCTTACATATATACTGTAAATGTGATCACCAGTAACCTATACCTTACATACAGACTGTAAGTGTGATCACCAGTAACCTATACATTACATACGTACTGTAAGTGTGATCACCAGTAACCTATCCATTACATACATACTGTAAGTGTGATCACCAGTAACCTATACCTTACATACATACTGTAAGTGGGATCCCCAGGAACCTATACCTTACATACATACTGTAAGTGTGATCACCAGTAACCCATACCTTACATACATACTGTAAGTGGGATCCCCAGTAACCTATACCTTACATACATACTGTTAGTGGGATCACCAGTAACCTATACCTTACATACATACTGTAAGTGGGATCCCCAGGAACCTATACCTTACATACATACTGTAAGTGGGATCCCCAGTAACCTATACCTTACATACATACTGTAAGTGTGATCCCCAGGAACCTATACCTTACATACATACTGTAATTGGGATCCCCAGGAACCTATACCTTACATACATACTGTAAGTTTGATCACCAGTAACCTATACCTTACATTCATACTGTAAGTGGGATCCCCAGGAGCCTATACCTTACATACATACTGTAATTGGGATCCCCAGGAACCTATACCTTACATACATTCTGTAAGTGGGATCCCCAGTAACCTATACCTTTCATACATACTGTAAGTGTGATCACCAGGAACCTATACGTTACATACATACTGTAAGTCTGATCACCTGTAACCTATACGTTACATACATACTGTTAGTGGGATCCCCAGTAACCTATACATTACATACATACTGAAAGTGTGATCACCTGTAACCTATACATAACATACATACTGTAAGTGTGATCACCAGTAGCCTATACCTTACATACATACTGTAAGTTTGATCACCAGTTACCTATACCTTACATACATACTGTAAGTGCGATCACCTGTAACCTATACATTACAGACATACTGTAAGTGTGATCACCAGTAACCAATACCTTGCATACATACTGTAAGTGTGATCCCCAGGAACCTATACCTTACATACATTCTGTAAGTGGGATCCCCAGTAACCTATACCTTTCATACATACTGTAAGTGTGATCACCTGTACCCTATACATTACATACATACTGTAAGCGTGATCACCTGTAACCTATACATTACAGACATACTGTAAGTGTGATCACCAGTAGCCTATACCTTACATACATACTGTAATTGGGATCCCCAGGAACCTATACCTTACATACATACTGTAATTGGGATCCCCAGGAACCTATACCTTACATACATTCTGTAAGTGGGATCCCCAGTAACCTATACCTTTCATACATACTGTAAGTGTGATCACCTGTACCCTATACGTTACATACATACTGTTAGTGGGATCCCCAGTAACCTATACATTACATACATAGTGTAAGTGTGATCACCAGTAACCTATCCATTACATACATACTGTAAGTGTGATAACCAGTAACCTATACGCTACATACATACTGTAAGTTTGATCACCAGTTACCTATACCTTACATACATACTGTAAGTGTCATCACCTGTAACCTATACCTTACATACATACTGTTAGTGGGATCCCCAGTAACCTATACATTACATACATAGTGTAAGTGTGATCACCAGTAACCTATACGTTACATACATACTGTAAGTGTGATCACCAGTAACCTATACGCTACATACATACTGTAAGTGTGATCACCAGTAACCTATACCTTACTTAAGTGTGTATAAATTCTTAGTGCAGAGGAAACATAAAACACTTGCTGTATAAAGTCTAACCTTATTTAAAACACAGAACTTAAAGATGTTGACACTATGAGAAACGTTGACAAAATTAGATATTTGAGGTTCCCAATTTGGGTCAAAATTAAGCCCCATGCTCATTTGAAATAGTATGTTTTATTTTCAAATACCGTCAAAAAAAAGACCAGGTTTTTTTAACATGGAACATTTAACTGTAAAAATGTTTAACAAGCAAAAGATTTGTCAACTTTAAATGGTATTTAGATTAACAAAAACTCTTTAAGTCGGACACACTCATTTGAAATTTAGGTAACACTTGATTTTGCCATTGGTGCCTTTAAGATAAGCTGGCCTCATCATCCTTTGAAAAAAATATAGTTTTCACATATATTTTTTTTATTTTTTTCAGAGGCAATTTTTACCGATTTTGATGTCTCTGTAAATGTTACCGATATATCCTTATATGTAAACTGGACATTGATGGCCAACCACAGTGTGTCCCTTACCAACCTCACTATGCTGTATCGTGTGTCCAGGGTCCGGAACTGTGGTCCGGACAATCTTGACTCGACCTTCTATGCAGTGTAAGATTTTATATTCTCACATACTTCACATGGTGATCCCGTTCTTGTTAGGGAAAAGATAACTCTATCTTACACGGGGTAGGGAAAGACAGCTGACATGCGCTATGACGTCATAATAATGGATTGTCGACGTGACGTCATTTTATTGTTTCTGTGATGTCATACAATTGTTTTGAATGGGGAATCATCCGTCTCAACCCTAGGGCTTTGGGGTTTACCGGAAGAATAAGATTGATGTTTATTTCGACTGGAATTTGTTTATTTGTATGTATGTATGCCAAACTCTTACACTTTGGTTGAGATATTCCTGTCCATGGAACAGACCAATGTAAGATTCTATTATTCTTTTGAGAACTTTTTTTGTACTAATTTTCCAAATTACTCTTAGCATACACAGAAAGTCTATTACAGGAAGTTTTGATGTGAAAAATGTCTCCTGTTAACTATAAGTGATTATTCTGTTAAACTTCTGGCAGGCAGAAACACAACATTGTTCTTTGGAAATACATGTTTAATAACATCTTTGATTTTTCATCCTCAGGTCTTTATTGAACAATTCAGACATGATCGTGCCTGGCCTGTTGCCATGGAGAAAATATGAATACAAAGTTTATGTTTCAATTTCTCGTGGCAATTTGACTGAATCAAGAACAGAACAGGAACAAGAGTTCCTCACACCTGCCAAAGGTCAGTATACGTAGCAGGTCACAAGTAATAATATATTATGATAAGGGGATTGAACTTGAACACTGTTAAAAATTAACAAACTTAATATTTTGAAAACAAATGAAACAAAATAAGGCATTGCTGACATTAATGTACAACCTAAGTGTGCACGGAAGCCGGAACGGGCCACAGAGAAAACAATTTTATGCCGTAATAACGACTTAAATATCTCGTAATTACGACTTATCTATCTTGTAATATTACTATCTCATAAAAACAACTTAGCTATGTCGTTATAACGACTTCAGTATCTTGTAATGATGACTTACTATCTTGTAATATCAACTTAGCTATGTCGTAATAACGAACGACTTAATATCTCTTAATAATGACTTAACTATGTCGTTATAACGACTTACTGAGTATTTCGTAAAAATGACATAGCTATGTCGCAATAACGACTTACTATCATTTACGGAATAGCTACATTTCACATGTATATACACGTATAACAAAAAACTATGTCATTATTACGAGATATTAAGTCGTTATTACAACATAGCTAAGTCATTATTTCGAGATATTAAGTCGTTACTACGAGATAGTTAGTTGTTATAACGAGATAGTAGGTCGTTATGACAAGATATTAAGTCGTAATTACGACATAGTTAAGTTGTTACTATGAGATAGTAAGTCAACGTTATTTCTCAGTGGCCGGGCGTACCAGCTTCCGTAAGTTTCCAAATAACTTGAGCATCTAAAGCTTAGAAAAGTAAAGTTGTGGCAATTTGAAAATCATAAATCTAAAAGTGCTATCAGACCCAAGGAGACTAAAATTTAAATATTGTTACTTTTTCAGTGCCGACCGGCGTGGTCCTAGGTTTACGTGTGACTTCAGTCTCCGCTAGTGCAGGCTCTTTAGCCTGGAATGAGCCAGAATGCGAAAATAGGAACGGCATGTTTATGAATTATGAGATCTCGGTGAGGAATTTAAACAATTCTGTGGCTGCTGTATTGAACTATACTAGGAACTTAGAGAATTTTGACCTCTCAAATTTGACCTCGTTCACTGTATACAATGTTAGTGTCAGTTTCGTGAATGAAAAGGGTGCAGGACCTCCTGACTCGGTATTTCTGACCACACTCGAAGCTGGTAAGTCTAATTCCGTATCAATCTGTATTCATTTACTGGAATTTCAAACTTATTTTCTGGAAACTATTTTTCTGCCATTACTATAACAATGTGTATGTTTGCCTGCATGATTGGCTCAAAGAATCTTTGATTCAAGTTTCAGAATGGAATTTTTTAGAACAATCTCAAAATTTACAAATATTTTTGTGAGTGTTGCTTTTAGATTGGTGACCATTTTGAATTATTATGCATACAGTTTCAGTCTTGAAATTCAACATTTCTGAAATTGATAAGTTTAAAATTTTGCAAAGCTGCCGTTAGCCTAACCAGGCATTGAACATATGGGCCCAGTACAAAAAAACTTTGAAAAATGTTTTAGAAATTACAACTGTTGTGTGTGTTTCTTTATCTATGAAAAAATAATTTTGAAACCCTGTACATGTACTATTATTTTCTTAATTTTTGTATTTTTGAAAAAATATGATTTGGAAGATTTTTGATAACTTATAAAGTTAGTCAGACTTTGAACAACTTGGCTTTGAAAGGTGTTAATACTTTATTATATCCACACTTGAGTTTACATGCTGGGCACATTTTCATTGGTTAAAATTTTTGGAATATGACATCAATGCATTGTGATGTCGTGTCTCAGAGTGATTTCCGTCCTGATGGGGAACCGAAATATCCAAATAAAATATGATTTCCCCGAAGGATGTGAACGTTCTCTCAGTTGACTGGATATCATGTGTATCTCATAAACCTTGTGACCTTTAAAAATTTTGAAAACTAGCAAATTCACAAGTTGGATGAATATGATAGCTAATTATTACCAATGTTTGTATCATTTGAGTTCAAAAAGGATACAAGTAATTTCTGTTGTGTATTAATTTGTTGTTTAAAATGCATTGATAAATAATTGACATTAAGTTTCTTGCAACACTTAGTATTTGTCAATAAAGATTTTTTTTACTGAATTTGATTTCATAATTATAGCCAGGTTGACTAATGTTAAATATTGGTAGGAATTGTTGCATGTTGTCATGACAATACAAGAACACTCACTCTTAATTCAGAATAGATTAATTCATAGAAATGTTGTTTGATAATTTATTGGAATGTGTTGTAGATTTTATGTTAATTTTTCATTTTCACATCACATTACTTCACAAATTTTTGTTTAAATCACAAATTGATTTATAGCTCCGTCAGCACCAGAAATCACAAGTATGACCCCTGCAGTTTCCTACATTATCTTGACCTATGACCCCCCGGTGACCTCAAATGGGGTTATCAGGGAGTATGTGGTGTTCTACAGCAAACAAGCCACCTTTGTGGATGAGACAAGAAAGTCTGCTAAGCAGGCCACAAATATTACCATCACAGGATTGGAACCTGCCACACTATACTACTTCAAGGTACTCCTAAATACTGATACATACGTACAGTTATAAGGTCAAAACCTGTCATAGTAAAGACCACCCAAGGTACAGGCATGTAGTAGATTAATAGAATCTTACATGGGTCTGTTCCATGGACAGGGATATGACTCAACCGGAGTGTAAGAGTTTGGCTGGTCAGTACGAGGCTAATGCCAAACTATTACACGATCGAGGGTTGAGATATCCCTGTCTATGGAACAGACCCATGTTTGATTATTTTTCTCACATACTTACAAATAAACAAATTCCAGTAGGAATAAACATCGATCTGATTCTTCCCCCAAAACCCCAAAGCCCTAGGGTTGAGACGGATGGTTCCCCATTCACAACAATTGTATGACATCACAGAAACAATAAAATGACGTCACTTCGACAATTCATTATTATGATGTCACAGGGCGTGTCAGCTGTCTTTCCCTACCCAGAGTGAGATTAATAAAATCTCTCACCTCCTTGGGGGATGAGATATGGAAATCCCAACCCGAGGGGGAAGATTGTTTAGTTGCCAAACATGAGGTTTTGCCGAGTTAAGAACTTGAGTTGGCAACTTAAGAATCCTTACCTGAGGGTTGGGATTCCGCTATCTCACCCACAAAGGGGTGAATGATTCTTTTTCTCTTACCCTGTTCTCCCATTGTGTATCATAACACAATATAATGATAACGTAACATGCTGAATTCAGGGTTGACGGTAGGTATAGACAGGTGTTAGATCTTTATGCATGTTTACAGATGTTAGTTATGGACTGGTGGTAGTTACTATAAACAGGTAGTGGCATGATAAACAGTTCAACTCCAAAGAAGTTGAACCTGTTTCCTCATACAAAAAAAAATGTAATTTTTATACAACCTGGAAAAAAATGAGCAAGTTGGTATAGGATTGAGATTTATTTGGGTTTTTTTTCAAAATTTAATTCACAATATATTTAATTAAAATATACTTTCCATTTGTTTGATATACAGAATATGGGCTACAGGATTATATATATAGTTAACTTTGTTGATTGAATCCTTTATCGTTTTTAACTTTATTCAGTTGTGTTTCTGTGATTACAGGTACAGGCGCGTACAGGGGAGAGTCGCTGGGGGGACAACAGTCAGGTGGGCAATACAACCACACTCCCCGACAAACCCTCTGACCTAGCTCATCTCGCCATCAACGATAAGAACGTGTCGTGTTTGGAAGTCATTTGGAAACCGCCCACCACTCCCAATGGGGAGATAATTCAGTATAAGGTAAACACATCACTCGCAATAAGTAAAAAGGGCGATGTAAAAAAATCATCTGCAAATGGCCTCCAGGACAAGTACAAATCGTAGTATATGTTGAAATCTTCTACATTTTCACTGCTCATCCCAACATTGAAAATGTTTAAAAATCATGCTTTTCAGCTTTGAATACACATAATAATACAAGGCATTTTTAACTCATTCACCCCTGAAGTTTCATAATGAACTATTCCAACCTTTGAATTGGAAGAGTTCAAATGTGTCTTCAGTGGTGAATGAGTTAATAGTGTAGATGCTATATAATCAATTTGATGACTATGAAAAGTTTACATACTTATATAACCTATATTAAAAGGGCTTTACCTGTATTTTGGCCGTCTTTGACACTGACATTTCATGGTTGAGAACTTTGCAGTTGTACTGCAAAAAACATTGCTTCTACTGCTTTAACTTGCCAAAGGACGGATCTGACGGAAGAATGTCAATTAGCCATGAAAAAGACAGAAAAGTCTATAGACATTGCATTACTTAGAGCTTCATACCACCTCACTAGTATCATATATATCCTTTTATACAGATAATTTGTGGTATAGTGAATATAAGAAGAATAAAATACACTATAATGTAGTACCACTAGCAATAGCTTTTGACATGGTTGTCTCAAGGAACCAATTTTTCACCAAAATGCATTTGGTAGTGATTTCTTACAGCAAATGAGTAGCAGATTGGGACTATCAAATTATTTTTGATGACATATTTGAATATCAAAATGCTCAAGGAAGAAAATTGTTTTTATAGTTTACATGTCAAACAAATTATATTTTTTGAAATTATTTTCTTGAATCAACAAGTGTGAAAGGTGTTTCACAAGTTCAAAATTTTATGTAAGATTTTTTCCCACTTACAAAACATATACTGACAGCAATGAGTTGACATCAACTGAAGGTATTTAAAATGTTAATACATGGAAAAAGTTAAAATGTTGAGCTATAGCTTTTCAGTTTGGTTGCCAAAATTTAAGGACATGGTGGTCTGCAGGGAGATCCCCTTTGACCTTCATTGACCTTTAAGAATTAAAAATTTGTTTTTAATATTCGTATAAACTGTAGAGATTTCAAAGCGTAAAAAAAAAGCCCAGAGCATAGATAGATTCCTATGAAAACTTAACATTAGATAGTGGAAGAATGCTTTTAATTGTAATAAACCTTTTTTTTGTCTGGGACAGAAGAATCTCCAAATCCTGTTCAATATATATAATGTAATGATAATTAATGATTTTAACTTTCAGGTTAAATACCAGGACATGAAGAATACTACATGGTCTCCTGAGATCATTTTAGATGTTCCAGTGACCTCCTACGTCTTGTGTGGCCTTAACCCTGGTAGACGGTACATGATACAGGTCAGTGCAGCCACTGCAGCAGGATTCGGTGACCCTTCGATAGTCTTCGGGACCACAGTGATAGGTCAGCCTCCGAAGCCTACGGCTCCATTCTTTGTCAATACCACTGACACCCAGATTACAATAATACTCAATCAAGTAGTCATCAACACCGGACCTCTCAAAGAGTATCGATTATACGCCCAAGACCTGACGGCAAAAATGTCTGCCCCAGGATATTTGATAGCCAGCTTTCCAGCCGCTGACATCACGTCGCCAAGATTGTTTGTTATCGGTGATGGGGTACCAGCGACTAACAAACCTTTGACAAAAGATCATGAATATGTGATATCACTGGAGATAGTCAGCTTCCTGGATGAAGTTACAAGGAACAACATCAACAGTATGGAACCAGTCCGGACAAAGGCCAGCCAACCTGTGACAGGCGCAGTCGCCGCGACAGATACGACAAACAGTACGCCAATCATTGTGGCAGTGGTTGTCATAGTCCTTCTACTGTTGATAGCGGTGCTTGTCGTCGGCTTGATATTCTGGTATAAGCGTCGCCAGGGCAGATATGTGTACCAGCCACAGAGTAACGAAAAAGAGCCGAACAATCTGATTCCAATGCCTGAACAGGACTACTACGATCCAACGAAACACTGGAACACCATACACTCCACTCGGGAGAGTCGCTACATCACGTCGGGACGGGAACTCCTCCAAGGGGAAACTGAAATAATGTCCAATGGATCAACAGCATCCCCCAATGGTGGTCCTCCAATCTCATTCAGTCAGGAGTTTCACGACCTTCCGCATGGACAGTTGTCCTCGTGGAATGCAGCCGTTATGAGAAAAAATGCAAACAAAAACCGATTTCCTCATCTCCTTCCGTATGACCATACTAGAGTGGTACTCAATGCCGATGAAAACTCAAACGGAGATTTTATCAATGCAAATTACGTCCATGGGTACAAGAAAACCGAGGAGTATATAGCTGCACAGAGTCCTTTCAATGATGAGACTGTGCTCGATTTCTGGAGGATGATATTTCAGAAAAACATAAAAATTGTGGTGATGATAACGAACACTGTTGAAGATAGCATTGTCAAGTGTACACAATACTGGCCGGATACAGTGCAGGGCAGTGTTCATTACGGATCGTTCGTTCTCGAGATCATAGAAACACGAGAGTTCGCAGACTACATTATCAGGACGATAAAAATAACAACACGGCACAGCTCATCTCATAGGTTCATACATCTATTTGAGTTCTGCACCTGGCCGGATCACGGTGTACCGAGTGATTCTATTCCGTTACTTGATATGAGGAACAAGGTTAGGGATTACCGTGGGAATGATCGAAGCCCGCTCCTTGTTCACTGTGGGACGGGAGTGAGCCGGACAGGTACCTATATAGCAATAGACGCTCTACTGGAGCAATATGAAGCTGAGGGCAGAATTAGTGTTTTCTCCTTTCTTAGAAAACTGCGCAAGGACAGAGTAGCGATGGTGCGGACTCTGAAACAGTATGTGTTCATTTACGACGCTATATTCGAGGAGAGGGTAGCGGGTGATACACGGGTAGGGCCGGACTTGAAGTCAAGGTACCACGAACTGACACGCAAAAATCCAAAAACGAAACATTCGTACCTGAAAGACCAGTTCATTTGTTTACAGAGGTACACTAGAAAAGTCGCACCAAAAAAGTGTCACACCGCTCTATTGCCACTTAATGTGGTCAAAAATCGTTTCCCAGATGTTGTCCCTCCGGACGATTTTCGACCTGTTTTGGAAGCGACTTCATTTGGCAGAACAGATTATATAAATGCTGTGTTTTTGGATAGTCACAGGAGGAAAAACCACTTTATTGTCACACAGACTCCACTTCATACCACAATAACGGACTTCTGGAAACTCGTGTATGATCTGGACATAAATACCATTGTCATGATGGAGTCGTACAAACATGAAGATGACACGTGTGCCGAATATTGGCCAGACCACAAGGCAAAAAAATTTGAGCCTTACTTCATTGACAATACTGAAGACTACCAAACAGAAAATGTCACAGTACGTCATTTTAATGTTAGCAGCATGCAGCAGCCACGAAGTCAGCCTCATAAAGTTCGTCAGTTTCAGTTCAATGCTTGGGAAGATCCAGACTTCATTCCAAAGTCCAAGTCAATGTTGCTGGATCTAGTTGACATGGTAACGGAGTGGCAGAAGGAGGAGAACGGGGACCAGGCGCCCATCCTGGTTCACTGTAAGGACGGTGCCACCCACAGCGGACTGTTTTGTGCCGTGGTAGCCATCTGCCAGGCCATGAATGATGACGGAGACGTAGATGTGTTCCACACCATCAAACACATGAAGAGACGGAGGGCACAGATCGTTGATATGCTGGTGAGTGAAGATCATTGTATTGCTTATGAGTGAAGTACATGTTGGTGAAAAAGTCAATTGTATGCTGGTGAGTGAAGGTCATTGATTTGTTCAGCATGGTCTTTGTTTGCTGGTAATTGGTACATGTATATAGATGAGTGAAGGTCATCGGTATGGTGGTAAGTGAAGGTCATTTGTATGGTGGTAAGTGAAAGTCATTTGTATGGTGGTAAGTGAAGGTCATTGGTATGTTTGTAAATGAGGGTCATTGGTATAGTGGTAAGTGATGGTCATTGGCATGGTGGTAAGTAAAGGTCATTGGTATGTTTGTAGGTGAAGGTCATGGGTATGTTGGTAAGTGAAGATCATTGGTATGGTGGTAAGTGAAGGTCATTTGTATGTTGGTAAGTGAAGGTCATTGATATGTTGGTAAGTGAAGGTCATTGGTATAGTGGTAAGTGATGGTCATTGGCATGGTGGTAAGTAAAGGTCATTGGTATGTTTGTAGGTGAAGGTCATGGGTATGTTGGTAAGTGAAGATCATTGGTATGGTGGTAAGTGAAGGTCATTGGTATGGTGGTAAGTGAAGGTCATTGGTATGTTGATGAGTGAAGATCATTGGTATGGTGGTAAGTGATGGTCATTGGCATGGTGGTAAGTAAAGGTCATTGGTATGTTTGTAGGTGAAGGTCATGGGTATGTTGGTAAGTGAAGATCATTGGTATGTTGGTAGGTGAAGGTCATGGGGATGGTGGTAAGTGAAGGTCATTTGTATGTTGGAATGTGGTCATTGGTAAGTTGGTGAGTTAAAGTCATTGGTATAGTGGTAAGTGAAGGTCATTGGTATGTTGGTAAGTGAAGGTCATTTGTATTTTGGTAAGTGAAGGTCATTTGTATGTTGGAATGTGGTCATTGGTAAGTTGGTGAGGTAAAGTCATTGGTGTAGTGGTAAGTGAAGGTCATTGATATGTTGGTAAGTGAAGGTCATTGGTATAGTGGTAAGTGATGGTCATTGGCATCGTGGTAAGTAAAGGTCATTGGTATGTTTGTAGGTGAAGGTCATGGGTACGTTGGTAAGTGAAGATCATTTGTATTTTGGTAAGTGAAGGTCATTGATATGTTGGTAAGTGAAGGTCATTGGTATGGTGGTAAGTGAAGGTCATTTGAATTTTGGTAAGTGATGGTCATTGGCATGGTGCTAAGTAAAGGTCATTGGTATGTTTGGAGGTGAAGGTCATGGGTATGTTGGTAAGTGAAGGTCATTGATATGTTGGTAAGTGAAGGTCATTTGTATGTTGGTAAGTGAAGGTCATTGGTATAGTGGTAAGTGAAGGTCATTGGTATGTTGGTAAGTGAACGTCATTTGTATTTTGGTAAGTGAAGGTCATTTGTATTTTGGTAAGTGATGGTCATTGGTATGTATATGTAGTTGCATGAATCTTGAGGTCATTGATATCAACAATGAGTGAAGGTCTTTGATATATTTATGAAGGAAAGCATGAGATATTATCATATATTAATGATTGAAGACTTAGATCAGCTCATTTTAGCATTGTTAATATATGGATAATGTTGTACACTGTAATTGTATTAAACAATCTTTATGCATAATGTTTACAGGACCAGTACCGATTCTGTTACCGAATACTGTGGGACTATATGAACCTGAGAATGCAAGGCGGCACCCTAACAAACATGATGAGTCACAGCAACAACGACCCACTGTATATCCCTGGCAGCCTCAGTCTCGCCTCCTACACCTCACATCTCGAGTACATATGAATACCAAAGTACAACTGTCAGTGAACTTTTTATTCAGCTGAACCAGCAGAGCTTCAGTTTTGTTGGAGTGAACCATTTATATAGCTAAAACAGTAGAGCATCAGGTTTGCTCGAGTGAACAATCTGCAATGAATGTAACTTAAACAGAAGAGTTTCAGTTCAAGTGGAGTGAACCATCTATATATCTAAAACAGTACAGCTTCAATTCTGCTAGAGTGAATCATCTATAGCTAAAACAGTTGAGCTTCAGTTCTGCTAGAGTGAACCATCTATATATCAAACAGTACAGCTTCAGTTCTGCTAGAGTGAACCATCTATAGCTAAAACAGTAAAGCTTCAGTTCTGCTAGAGTGAACCATCTATAGCTAAAACAGTTGAGCTTCAGTTCTGCTGAAGTGAACCATTCATATAGCTAAAACAGTAGAGCTTTTGTTCTGCTGAGGTGAACCATCTATATAGCTAAAACAGTACAGCTTCAGTTCTGCTGAAGTGAACCATCCATATAGCTAAAACAGTAGAGCTTCATTTCTGCTGGAGTGAACTATCTTTATAGCTAAAACAGTAAAGCTTCAGTTCTGCTAGAGTGAATCGTCTATAGCTAAAACAGTAGAGCTTCAGTTCTGCTGGAGTGAACCATCTTTTTAGCTAAAACAGTACAGCTTCAGTTCTGCTGGACTGAACCATCTTTATAGCTAAAACAGTACAACTTAAGTTCTGTTGGAGTGAACCAACTATATAGCTTAAACAGTACAGCTTCAGTTCTGCTGAAGTGAACCATCTATAGCTAAATCAGTACAGCTTCAGTTCTGCTGAAGTGAACCATCTATAGCTAAATCAGTACAGCTTCAGTTCTGTTGGAGTGAACCAACTATATAGCTAAAACAGTACAGCTTCAGTTCTGCTAGAGTGAACCATCTATAGCTAAAATAGTAGAGCTTCAATTCTGCTAGAGTGAACCATCTATAGCTTAAACAATACAGCTTCAGGTCTGCTGGAGTGAACCATCTTTATATCTTAAACAGTAGTGCCTGCAGTGAATTAACTTTACCTCAGTTCAGCTTTAGTTGATTTATAATACTGTTGGCACCACTGATGAGAGCCTCCAGTATAGTTTTAGTGATGACAGCTGTAATGGTCTAGTGTCAGTTCTACTGAAATGAGGCTTCAACATAATTACATGAATATATTCTTGCCAATCAGTTGAATGAGTCATATTTTTTGCAGTGAAATGTTTTTTTTATTACACTACAGTACAACTGGAGCTACTCTCAATGAAGTAGAGCTAACTATTATATCAGTAGAATGCACCTGCAGCTCACTTCAACTTCAGAAGAGCAGTGCAGCTTCAACATGTAAGGTTCAGTCAACCATTGGTATTCCGTCTTTGCGTATTGCAGAGTTATCTTCTCTTGTGAGCCGGTATTGATTCTTTCGTCATTAGTTTGTGGGAGTATCGACCTCAATTTTTGAGAAAACGAAGTAATTTTCTCACACAAACCAATGACGTAACAATGAATACCTGCTCACAAGAGAAGATAACTCTGCAATACGCAAAAAACGGAATACCAATGGTTGACTGAACCTTACATGTTGAAGCTACACCACTCTTCTGAAGTTGAAGTGAGCTGCAGGTGCATTCTACTGATATAATAATTAAAAGGAAGTTTTTATGAAACTTGATGAGGAAACATATTACCCACTTGCCTAACCTATGAGTTTCCTGATGGGCATATAGTTTGCACATTTTAAAAAGGAGATGCTGCAGTATGAAACATAAAGGTTAATAAATGTGAAAATAGACCTACCACAAAATTACACATTCCGCAGTAGTGTAATTTCTGGGGTGCTCTACAGTCATGTAAGTATTTACTTGGATCAGAGAGCGCAAATTATTTAGTCTTCCTTACTCAAAATATTTATGAATTAAAAATAATGATTAATAGATGAAATAGACTCATGTTAAGTGTTTGTCAAATAATTATATAAACATTTATTAAACTTTTACTCTTTATCATTTATTTGTGTGTATTTAAGATTTTTTTTGTAAAAAAACCCAGAGAAGACCTAAGATTTTTCATTTAGCTTAAATTAAATATCTTTTAAAAGATTTATGATGTATTTAATGAAATGTGATGAACCTATAGCTATATGTGTCAGATTCATTAAATATTCCCAGACAATACCGATAAAAAGCAAAAAGAAAATAAATACTTTTTACTGTTATACACCATGACAGGATTGCATTCGACTTGCCATCCACATAGATGCAACACTTCAGATTTTTCAGTTTTTTTGTTTGAAGTGCTTCTTATTTTGTTTTGCAAAAACAAAGGCTGCATAGACCAATTAAAAATAATCTGCATTATTTCAAGTTTGGGGTGCAAATACTTTTACTGTTTTGATAGTATTATTTTGATACTAAATAAATTGGTTTTAATTTTGTTAATATATTTTCCCTTTTATACGAATAAAAAAATAAAATAACTAACATTGAATTTGCTATTTCCAGGTTGTTTGATCTGTTGTGTTGCTTAATTAATTAAAATTCATACTCACTTGTATTGATGAAGTTGCAGCTTCAATTGAATTACCATTAAAATGATGTTGTTTCCCAGAATTGTTGCCACAGTAGTAGTAAAAATAGAACTCAATACCATAATTTACATGACATATACCGTCCATTTATTAAAATAAAATGTATCAATGCTGTAAATACATTGTACAGTGTGTAAGTAAAACTGAACAAGTTATATTGTTTGTTAGTGAAGTGAGAAATTCTGTAATAACAATGATGCTTCAAGCATAAAGAACAACAGAAATCACAATTAAAGGAATGTAGCTCCTAAACAAACATTTAGTTTCCTAAAGTGAGATTGCTTGATGATAGGACTCTAAACCAAAAAGATTTCAAAATAGAAGCAAATTAAGAATTAACTTGACCTGTACTGCATTTACAATAAATCGTCATGAATACTTGACTTAAAGTTAAGTTTGTAAATGATATCTCAGGTATAAGGGATAGTTTTGATAAAAATGGTTTCGGTTATCAAGGAAATAATTGTATTAATATTTTTTGAAATATGTGATCAACTCAAAAACAGTACTTTTAATCTGATTGGTATTTATTTTATGGGAGAGCTCAGTCTTGCCCGTAATGAAGGATTTGCATATTGGCCTGTAATTATAATCACATCAGTGGTCTGGGTATGTTAACTTTTCTCACAGTATTGGTGAAAAGTATTCTTTCTTTTATAACCATATTTATTTTTAAATAGATGACATTGTAAAGTAAACTTTGAAGTCATACAATAATATTCTTTTTTATTTTATTTTCAAGTTTTATCTAGTTAACAAATCTTTTAATTCCTTTATTTTATTATTATTTTTTGTTTATTAAGGGAATGCTATTTAGACATTGTCAGTATTTGGTGAGTAACTAGGTCTGTGACAGCAGCTTCATGGTGTCGCTCATTGGCATGTGAAAGTCAAATTTTCTGATTCATTCCACACAGATATGGGAAACTTCAAGCTTCAGTCATAGTAATAGAACTTCGTCTCCATGTATCGTACATAGCATTATTTCTGTGCGTGTGTGTTAACTGAATGGTGCTCTCTCAACATGTCTCCTAGCTCCTTATTGAGCTTATAGTCATACTAGTCTAGGGAATGTGATAGCATTATTTATGTATATTGTTGTGTAATCGTTACATTTTGTGATATATATATTTATATATGTAACAGACCTATTTATAACAGTTATATAAATACTTGTAGGTTTTTTCCGTCCTTGTATTCCAATCTTGAATGTGTATTTTTAGATCTCTGTCTGACTTGTAAACGTTTCAGAGAAACTGCAGTTGAAATATAAAAATTGTCTGAAAGGTACTTCAATGCGGTAACCCTTGTTGGACAAAACAATACTGGTAAATTTTATGCTGTTCCTTACGATAAATAAATTGAATTTCTACAAATTCTGACTAATTCAAAAGAGAAAAATGAGAGTGAAACATTGTGAAATCCAACGTGCAGGCGGTCATCTATCCAACTTCTGACCACGCTCAACGTTGATGAACTAGTGAGCGGGTCCCCGGGTTATACAGCATCACTGGAAAAGATAGCTTGCCAGTAAGGCAGTATTTTCCCCCTAATATACCATAGCTGTTACACTATCCCTCCCTCCGGGAAGTCTCGTCCCGAGACCTGGCCTGGGGAATCAGGTAGGCCCTTCCTGTGTATCAATGCACCTTCCCTAACCACCGGAAACTGGCCTTACATGATCACAGAGATCCCACCGCTGTCACCAAATGTAACATGCCGGCGGTCACACATCCATCTACTGACAACAACGCTCGATGTTGTTGAACTAGGGAGCTAGTCCCCGGGTTATGATGCATCACTGCAAAAGCTATCTTGTCAATAAGGCAGTATTTTCCCCTCCAATTCCTTAGCTGTTACACAAAACCTTCAAAAATAATATATATTGATAAGTATGCACAGCAGACATTCCTGTTACTGATAGCAAACTTGTATCATTTCAAATATATTAATAATATATGACTGTTATTAGATTGTAAAGAAATCATTAGGGATGTATATAGACCAGGGCACATTTTTTATCAAACTAAGAGTTACTGTGATAATTATTTACATATTTAGTTATGATTAATTTACTTTGATTAATATTTGTATGTTAATTTGAAATTTATTTAATATATGTTGATTTTATTTTAAATTGATTCACATTCCCAGGTATATTTACAATTGCCTGAGTATTTTCGAACACAAACTGTTAATATAACGGAAGTTTTGAATGTGTACTTATTTGTATCACTAATTTAAAATTTCAGTTGAATTTTTTTATGTTTAAATACTTTTCTTAGTGTTTGAATTATACAGTTGTTATTCAAATTAAAAAAGTTTCAATAATATTTCACAGATATAGTCAGATAAGGTAGGAAGTATGTCATGTGATATGCTATGATGTCTGGTGTAAATATCATGTGACGTGTCTGCTTGTTAATTTCATTTACATTGTGATTGAAGTGATAAACCCCAGATTTGTTGATGATGTTTTATAATTAAAGATGTATTTACTTACTATTTAATGCTAATATAATTAAAGAAAATGGGAGAAAATTGTTGTATTTTGTCATTTTTATCATTGAACACCATTCTTTGTGCCGTTGTACATGGTATGTCTTTCTAAATAAACTAAAACTGTTTGAAAGGTTAGTTATGAACACACAGTCGAGAGAGTAGATCTCAAACTTCAACATGACCATGAATATCAAGTTGCATTCAACCGTCCATTTTCGGAAAAGCACACAAGCTTTTTGCTATCATTAAACTATATCAAGATAAAAAAAAATCAGATTAAAAATTGGCTGTTTAAGATTATTTCGCTGATATCAAAAACATATCTTCAAAAATATTGGCACTGTCATGATACTTAACAGATGCCGCCTATTTAATAATAATCGTCAGAGTCGGGACTCGTGCCAGATAGACTAAATATTCTTAAATATTTCTTTTCAGGGTTGCCGTCATTCAATTCAACTTTATTCTCTTTCACAATACAATGTATAGAGAAACATATTTACAATATAATATATAGTAATTGTAGTGTTCGTAGTCGGTAGTACACAGTACTGTTTTATAATATATACACATTTATATCGAGGAGGTCAAATACTGTTATTAATCATTCTAATAAAAGTACAAAGTTTCTTCAGTGTTTTTATATTAGTAGTATTCATCAATTCATTAAACTTAATTACATTTGGTCTCGTCCAAAAATATTTGTCTACATATAAAATTCGAAACCCAGATAGTGATGGACACTCAAGCAAGTAATGGAATTCGTCACCAATTTGCTGACTGTTACAGTGTGGACATTTTCTTTCATTATACTCTATATTATGCCATCTGCCGGTTTCAACAATGAATTTGTGATTAGTAGTCTTAAATTTACAAAATGTAACTCTATCCTTATCACTTAAAATATCTAAGTAATTTTCAAAATGACAATTATTTTTAAAAATCCTATAACATGTAGCTTTTGATGAAGTGTGAACATCACTCTGCCATTTCTGTAAATACTGGTCGTACAATCTTTGTTTAATAACATGCTTTAGCCATGTGATATTACATTCTGAAGTATATTGGACATTCCATAGGTAACTCATACCACATTCATTTAAAATACGTTTAATAAAACTTATATATGGAAC